TCGAGCGATACCTGTCTTCAGGTTCGCAAGATAACTATGATCTATGACTGCAGATGTTTGATATGGGTGCTTCATTTGGGTGAAAAGTTGTTTTGTTATCAACATCTAAAATCTGAATCTTAATAAATAATTTACTTATCTTGATTTTATTCAATTTTCTCAAATTATGTTTGGTAAGCTATATTTTTCACTAACATAAAGAGCATCGTCTTTATTTTTTGACTTTTATCTTTCTGACAACTTGTAAATGTACTAATGTAGATCAAGCTACTTAATCCAACATACATCTGTACTAGGTACTATGTTACTGATAACTTATTTTACTTGGAGATAATGAGATTAGTATCAATAATATTCACTTCTGACTTAAGCGCGTGAAATAAGAAGTAATCGGGTTTGGTTTCATATCATTACAATAACACTTTAAAACTGACTATGAAGCAAATCGTCCTCACGATGCATAAATTATGATTTGTTGTTTGTCATGACAGTCTGATTTACGCTAAGGTCAAAGAAGATTTATTAAAATTGCATCCACAGCACCGTGGATAAAAGAATCACTCTACCTGTTATTAAGGATCTTATCTAGAAATGCACCGAATATTCTTATTTAGTATAAACATGTAATACATTGACCCTTTTTCGATTCCTGATTAGCATGAAGTGGTTACTATGAAACAACAAGTCACTATAATTCTAATCGGAATCTTTACATCATTTTCCTAACTTGTATTTAATAATTTCAACTTAGCATCGTTTTTTACAGAGCTGATTCATTTAAACGTTGTAACAAATTGATGAGATATGAACTGATCTTTTCAGATATTTGTCACTCATAAATCTCCTATTTTACAAATTGATTAAAGTTTCATGGGTGACACTAGTAGCGAAATATCCTTACTTTGAATGAAATGTGAATGAACCTGCAAAGCAAAACTAGTTATTTGCATCCAAATTAAACAAATCAAGCGTTAAATTTAAGAAAGTTTTCACCTAATATAATTTTTGCAAAGTACACAAGTTAAGATCATGAATTAAAGATGACTTTGAATTATAATGTATGGCTACCATATTATATATGTTTGATACGTAGATGATCTATTTTAACTGAACACTGACAGAATTGAATAGCACCAATAATATCTAATAGAATAGAATTACAATCTTTTTATGTGAGCCGATTCAATAAAGTTAATGATAAGTATCTACAGGCAACTTCATTATTACAAGGATCAATTGAAGTTACTCTTAACCACAACATCATTTTTGAAAGTCCCATCCTCCAGTTTGTTACGATAACTAATACACATTAGTTCAGATTTGTATGTGATTTCTGTTTACTTTCATGTGAAGTACTAGACAGAAACGCACTTAACTTCAGTAATCATAGTCTTGGTGCTCTTTCAGTATGCTGTTCTTAAGTGGAAAATAATACATTCATGCTAATCAAATTTCCTAGCCACTTCTTTAGTTTGCCTGAGGAATGAATGCAAACTTTATATGTAGTTACGGTAATGGCAATAAAAATATGAACTCTTAAAGTTGATAACAGTTACAGTTTCTAGATTATCAAGAGTCTTGAAAATAGTAAAAATAATATATGAATGATTCAATGGTTCAATACAAGCTATTGGATTTTGGTTTCGTTCTGTCGTTTTCCCGACTCATTAGCACAGCACTATTGTGGTAATTAATTTACTGAATACACTCCATTTATTCTGTGTAAATTACCTAATGACCGTGACAGTTATGAATTAGATTGATGCTGACACATTTTCGTGTCAATGTTGGTAGATACATTTCAGTTATTTTTATTAGCCAAAAGCGAAATTAGTGCATATTCTGTTTCAAATAATGAAACAAGTAATTGTTTAACATTTCTAATCACCACAATGCTTTTCATGATTAATTCTATTGCTTAACAAATGCTTGTTAGTTTACATCATGTAACTCTAACTTTCAGCCCTTTTCTTTTTTACTTTATCTACCATTAACGAAAACAATCCAGTAAAATAATGCATTAATAGGGAAATACGTTAAGTTTATGTATACTTTTACCATAAAACAATTTGTTTTATATCTTCAGTGATGGTATATACATCGGATGAAGAATTATTAATATTGAAATTCCATTTATATTGGTGAAAAAATTTGTATCTCGCCATGCGTTGTTGATGTATTCATAGAACACGAAACGTCAAATGAGCACCTTCTTGTTGCTCTGAGTTACAGGTTACACCCCGTAATCTTTGATAAGTCTAGCTTCGAATAGAAAATGTAGCTACTGTTCATAGGTAATTTTTAGGATAAATGCAAAATCATATTTTGATACCAGGAATGGAAGCTGAAAAGTTGAGTCGGGATTCGATTCATTCACTTTGCCGCGGTAACTTTCGTATTAACTATCAAGAATACCTGGTAAAGTCAGGCTGTGTCTCTTTTAAACCTCCTTTCTGAGGAATCAGTAACTAATATACGAAAGTCTAAGAATTATCTCACTTATATCAAAGCCTAACTAGTGGCGGGTTCCCTTCAACTTTGACCAGTTAATCTCCCTAAAAATATATGGATTATTAGGCGTGTGTTGAGCATACATATGCTACTATTATTTCCATGCACTTTATATACTTTTAATCGGTTTAGTCCTATCTTTTGTGATTAAGTCAGGTTGGCTCTATTCTTTTTTTGAACAACTAAATTTTAGGTTAATAACTTTTTTATTTGATTTTCGAAGCATAATTTCGTTGTGAAGGATCAAAAATTTATCCATAACATAACATACCCGTATTACATCTTGTTAATATCGTTTTAACACGATCGGTCATTAAGAGCTAAATAATAACACCGCTGAAGAATTATAAAATTAATAAAACAGAATCGCTGAATCAGCAATGTCTCGTATAACTGCATCTTCCGTGAATATGTAAATAAGGGTTACATCACTCTTCCTTAAATAAGAGTGGTTAAGTATAGTGGGTTTTAATCTTATTTACTCAAAGAAAATTCTTTTGAAGAAATTTAAAAGAGCCATTCTAATATACCAAACATATATCTTTTCAAACATATCAGAAAAGCAACTAAGCACTTCGGACTTGGAGTGATTGGTAAGATTTGTTTTTTAATTCAGAAATTATGACTGATGTTTGGAAACAACTTGTGTAGTAGACACCATAGGGTTCCTTTCTAAGTACGACTCAGAGATCTAAGAATTATCAGGTCATCTTTTCCAGAATATGTAATTTTGAATATAATAATTTAGAAGTCAAGCGCTAACGTTTTTACTGTTCAAAACAGAAAAACTGTTAATGGGAACGAAGCATTGCAAAAATTTTTTAAATAATTTTTCATGACTTTCTTTTCGGGAACTATTATTTTTGATCCTTCTAGTATCATCTGCACCACTTGAACTTGATCTGCTTTAGAATGTATGTTTGATGAATAATGAAATTACAGACTGTAACCTAATACACGCAGATCGAAAATAAAAACAAACTTTTCAATAAAGGAAAATTTAATCTTTGACTATTTCGAATATTTGTTCTCTTTGTTTAGCATTATTTTCTTCATTTAGGACGTCTTCAACGATAAAATACAACTATGATAAGGACTAATAGTGTCCTTACATTGTAATTTCGTAATTATGTTAATGTGCTATCAAAAACTTAATTTCTATTATTACACGAGTTGGTTCACTCAAGATTTACCACTGCACTACTGCTTGCTGCGTTTTATTATCCGATTGAAAATGTTCAACATCAATAGAAGTTAGGATTTTTCTCAGCCTCAGGTTCAAGTTCAATCTTGATAATTGAAGCGTATAATAGATAAAAAGTTAGTACGGTAGTTTATATGTGAGACAATATATTAGGGTGAAGATTATTACTGCCGAATCTTTTCACCAAATATCGATTAACGTCGAATTTATAACAAATTAGAACTATATCTCGTTGAAGAAATGAAAACTTTCATAAGGAATTATATTTCCCGTTAAATGTTGAATAAATACCTCTGCTTATACGGAGCTAATTAGTTTGCATAGGTTGGTCAAACAAATACTGTCATAAAAACTTTCCTTCCAAGGCTTTTAAAAGCCAACTTAGATTACTTAACTTTATTTTTGGCTCAAATAGTAAAGTTTGGACAATTTTGGATGACCTGATGAAAATGGTTATTTTTCATATTTTTAAAGCATGAGTCAATTGAAGCTAGACCACCATGGAAAACCTGGAAACACTGGACGGCCGTTTCGTCCTATTATGGGACTCCTCAGCAGTGCGCATCCACGAACCCGCTCGCGCGAGATTCGAACCCAGGACCTACCAGCTTCGAGCCGAAGCCCTTAACCGATAGACCACTGAGCTGGCATCCAACGGTGTTAATGTCTAACTTCAACTGATTCACGAAGTTGAGCAACCATTCACCAATTGTCTTCAGTGAGTTCCTATCTCACAACAGACGTGGTTTTGAACTCCACTGGTCACTGCTTCTCACTAGAGCTCCTCGTTATACTTCTCGAAGTCACTGGTGAGCATATGATTATATTAATTATCAGAGGGGGTTTTGTGGAGATTTAGTATTTTTCATATTTTTAAAGCATGAGTCAATTGACTCATGCTTTAAAAATATGAAAAATACTAAATCTCCACAAAACCCCCTCTGATAAGAAAATGGTTATTGTTAAGAGATTGATATTCCTAGGCTTTGTTAGTACACCCAAAATTTTCCTGTCTCTTAACCGTTGGTATGTTTGTCATAATCAAATTAATTACGAAATCATAATACGATTGTAAACGAAAATACTGAACCACTATTCCAATAAACATTCTTAATCTTGACTCGAACATCCATCATAATATTAAGTATTTAGTAAGTCCATATGGTCTGATTATTATTTTTAGTATGAATTGTCTTTTTATTATTTAACAAAAGGATGTCTAATGTTTATAAATCCCATACACACCCATATGTAGTCCTATATTTCTCTCTCTTTATTACAATAGGAATCATTTGCAACGTGTCGTTTCAATGTTTTATTGTTTTCTAATATTTGCCATTGGTTTATCTATTACACTTTACAATACCGGAGAAAAAGTAGCTGAAACTGAAAACTCATTTGTTGTAAGTTATCTCATTAATATCTATTTTATTAATGTTAGTTTATTATATACACTTTCTTCTATATAAGCTACACAAAAATACAAATATCATATAAGTTCAGCATTAAAATTTCGAATATGGCAAAAAGTATACACTTGTAAATGAGAATAATGATACAGTCTATATAATAGCTTTTGCTGATAAAGGTATTATATCGAAACTATCAATATCCTAGTAATAATATGGGTTATAGATCAGGTTATAACTTGGCATGAACTATTAAATACTGCACAAACAACTCTCCACCCAATATTCACTCTGGTCTACTGTAAACAAATAGACTCAAAATGATATCTTTGTTCGAAAAAGAAAAAATGTTTATTATATTATTGGTAGCCTGTTCTAATTAAATTTACACGTTCATTGGCATCGTAATCATCTAATGATCTTCACCAACAAGTTTTTTATCGGTATTATATAAGAAATAATCATAATAAATATATTTGCTTCTGAATGCCCATACTTGGTATACCTACGTTTTTCCTCTACTGAACTTAGAATTATTTTAAAATTCATCATAGTCATCAGACAGTTTAATGACACTTATTGGGTTGATTGACCGTTTGACTGAATTAAATTTTCTGATATTTCAGCAGTTCAGCATAGCTTAAAATGTGTACATTAAATATTCCGTGGCATGCAGTCGACTTGATGCTTTATAAGTTGGTTGTGTTAAAGCCATAAACTTAATTGAACATATAAGAAATTATGAACATTTAAGGAGTTTTGTAAAACATTTTTATTTTTCAGTATTTTTCAAAAAACTTAGATGGAATCACGACTCAATTAAAGCTAGACCAACATGGAAAATCTGGAAGCACTGGATGGCCGTTTCGTCCTATTATGGGACTCCTCAGTAGTGCGCATCCACGATCCCGCCTCGCAAGATTCGAACCCAGGACCTGTCAGTCTCGCGCGCGAGCTCTTAACCACTAGACCACTGAGCCGACATTCAGCGGTGTTAACGTCTAACTTCAAACAATCCACGAATGCGGGATCGTGGATGCGCACTACTGAAGAGTCCTACAAAAAGACGAAACGGCCGTCCAGTACTTCTAGGTTTGCCATGGTGGTTTAGCTTTAATTGACCCATGATTTCAACTATAAAATTACCGAAATATCCACAAAAACCCCTTCTGACAAAGCTTAGAACCAATAGCTGGTGATTAACGGTATTAATGTCTAGTAGGAACCTTCAACTGTGAAGAACTTCTGCCCCATGCAGTAAATTATATATATATATATATATATATATATATATATATCAAGATGTATATATTTTTGAAATACCATGTGCTCATCATTGTTTCACCTATACTTCTACTCTTTATCATACTTCCCTTAAAAATACGTGATCTCTTAAATAAGTCTTACTAATTGTAGTTATCATCCTTTCCATTGCTAATTTCACACGTAATCATACTTTCTAAACAATTATCAGTGCACCTGTTCACCAATAACTTGCTCTACTTTTTTCGACAAACCATACGATGAAGTTGTTCTCTACCACAAAAATCGACAACTCAAAATATATTAGAAAGCTAGTAATTAATATGCACATATTGAGTAAATTTTTGTTATTTAGCGTCTAATATTTAGCATCTAATGTTTATGGAAATTGGTTTCTTACAAACAAAATAAATTGAAAAACAGCTTTGTGTGGTCTAAATGTGCATCTAATAAACGTATTTTGTTATCTTCCCGATAACTGAAATGTCTACTGCTCGATCTCCGTTAGTTGTTAATTAATACATTAAAAGTGCATACACATCTTGATTTCTATATTCTATCTCCAGGAGTCATTAATGTTAAAACACTTCATGAAGTAATATTTGTTATTATGGTTGAATATGATAAATTCACTTAATGTGTATGGATCACTAAAGTTAAACTCTTATTTTATCCATCTACGTCGACTGTTTGGTTAAATGACAAACCTCACATATAATAAAAGTATCACTCTAGTAAGAATATACAAATATATAATTAATGCTATTAAGGTAGTTGAAAACAAAGTCTTTTATCAATATTTATTTCCCTTATTTGTATGAAACTCAAATGTCTTTGTTATACAGAAAAAATTGTGCTTTAGAACCATTTAACCTACAATAAACTCTCGTTGTTATAGTTTCAACACAAACCAAATTCAAATCGCATATGCACTGATTATGATTTTTAACAAAACGGTTATATACTGGAGGTGTTTTATAAAAAACGGAAAATATGGCCTGGAATTGGGACATGTAAAATAGTTGAGGGTCGATTTTCTAACTGATAGTGAAATTCAAAAGATGATCAAGTGTAAACTGAAAAACTCAATTTTTATAAACTTTTTTTGCATCAACCAAATAGAAATCAATGGATCTAATGAGCAACATAATCTCAAATTTTTTATCGTTGATATTTATCGATTATTCAGTAACTGGAAATACACCGCAGTTTAAATAGCTCAGTAGCATGAAGATACTTACTAATTTAAGCCTGTTACTCCTCGTGGAGGAGCATAGGACGTACACCAGCATTCTCCATCCAACCCTGTCCTGGGCAATCCTTTCCAGTTATTTCCAGTTGTTATTCATCCTTTTCATATCTGCTTCTATTTCCCGGCATAATGTGTTCTTTGACCTTCCTCTTTTCCACCTCACTTCACGATTCCAAATTAGGGCTTTCCTCGTGATGCAGTTTGGTGATTTCCTCAATGTATGTGCCATCCACTTCCAACCTCTTCTCCTAATTTCCTCTTCAACTGGTTTTTCCTATCCCACAGAAGGCTGATGCTGATGATATCCGGTCACTGAATGTTGAGTATTTTCTGAAGACAACTACTTATAAATACTTGTACCTTCTTCACGATGGATGTAGTAGTTCTACACGTTTTAGCTCCGTACAGTAGGACTGTCTTGACGTTCGTATTGAAGATTCTGACTTTGATGCTGTTTGACAGTTGTTTTGAGTTCAACATGTTTTTCCATTGTAGGAATGCTGTCCTTGTTTTGCCAATCCTCGTCTTTCCGTCTGCATTAGACCCTCCTTGTTCATCGATGATGCTGTTCAGGTACATGAAAGATTCTACCTGTTCGAGAGTTGCTCCATCAACTGTGATTGGGTTGGTGTTATCTGTGTTGTATTTGAGGATGTTGTTTATTCCCTTGTGTATGTTGAGGCCTACTGATGCAGAAGCTTCTGCCATAGTGGTTGTTTTCACGTGCATTTGTTCGCGTGTACGGGATAGAAGATCTAGGTCATGTGTGAAGTCCAAATCGTCTAATTTCATCTAGGCTATCCATTGTATTCCTTGCTTCTCCTCAGATGTCAAGGTCTTCATAATCTAGCCGACCACTGGAAGGAAAAAACGATGAGAGTGAACAGCCTTGTCTGAATCCGGTCCTCACTTCGAATGAGTTTGTCAGCCGTCCTCCATGCACAACATTGCACTGCAGTCCATCATATGAATTCCGAAGGACGTTGTCGATCTTCTCAAGTACTCTATAGTGTCGAAGAAGGTTCCATAAGGCTCTCCTATACATATTGTCGAATGCTTTCTCATAGTCAAGGAAGTTGATGTATATTGACAAGTTCCATTCAATTAATTGTTTCACGATGATCCATAGTGTCGTCATTTAGTATGTACACGACCGATCCTTACGAAATCCATCCTGTTGATCTCGAAGTTGGACATCTACTGAATCTTTCATCCGGTTCCGCAACACTGTTGAAAAGGTTCCCTGGTACTGACAGTAGTATGATGCCACTGTAGATTTTACACTTGCTCAAACCTCCTTTCTTTAGTATCATGATGAGGTGTCCTTCTTTCTAGTCTGTCAGTGTAACTTGTTCTTCCTCCCAAATATTCCTGAATAAGACATGAAGAGTGTTTGCAGTTGCTTCTGTCTGACTTCAATGCTTTAGCTGGTATATTATCGGGTTTTCTTGCATTCCCACAGTTGATTCGTCTGATAACCGTGCTGACTTCATCTACCGTTGGTGGAGTTACATCAATAGTAAGGTCTGTGTGATGCTTCGATGTCTGATGTATTCAATGGGGCTGGCCTATTCAAGAGTTCCTCAAAGTGTTCTACCCATCTGTTCATATGTTCTTGAATCTCATTGGTCGTCTTGCCTTCTTTGTCCTTGACCAGTTTCCCTGGTTTACCATATTTTCCTTCCAGCTTCTTCATTCTGCTTCTTTGATCCCTTTCCAGTTGTCTTCCATAGTGGTTTCTTCTTTCAGTAGACCTTCTAAGGCTTGGAACCTATTGTTGAGAGTTATCTTCAATTCGTTAAGTTTCTCAGTATGTCGAAGTAAGGCTACGTTGAACCCTTGTAGTGCTGTTTCTCCAGTTGTCCAGTGATTCTTTTACTTTAGTTTCATCTTGACCACAACAAGGTGGTGATCTGAAGCTATGTCAGCTCCTCTCCTGATTCTTACGTCTTCCGTTGACCTTCTGCATTTTCTACTGATGCAAATATGATTGATCTGGTTCTGTGTAGTATGATCCGGTGAGATCCATGTAGTTTTGTGTATGCGTTTGTGTGAGAATATTTTGCTCTCTATAACCATTTTGTTAAATGCACATAGATTTGCAAACCTGTCACCACTCTCGTTATCTTCTCTTAGTTCATGTCGTCCCATGATATCTTCATATCTTGTGTTGTCCATCCCAACCTTGTCGTTTAGGTCTCCCATAAAGGTGATCAGTTCCGTTCTTCAGCACTTATCTGTGATTGATTGCAGCCTCGAGTAGAACTGATCTTTATCGTCGTCGTTGCTATCATTTATGGGTGCATAACATTGGATAACATTAATTGTCATTCCTTCCTTTGTTTTGAAAGATGCTTTGATTGTCATAGTCCCATAAGATTCCCATCTGGTAAGTGCTTAACGTGCTTCCGTGGACAATATCAGGGGAACTTCCTGAGTATGTGGGGCATTTTCTTCTTCATGACCAGAGTACAGCAGCATCTCTCCCGAATCTATCCTTTACTGTCCAGCCTGGATCCAATGTGTTTCACTTAATCCGAACACAGTCAAGTTCTATCTCCTCATTTCCGTAACTATTTTACCAGTCCTCTCGGACTCCCATATTGTCCGGACATTTCATGTACCTATATTAATTGTTGCTCTGGTCGTCCGAAGGGGCATCGGCCTCGTGACTTCCGAAGAACCTCGGCTTACATTATGAGGCATCATAATTCTTTCTTCAACTCCCAGGCCAAAGTTTAAATGGTTTGAATTATTTTTCCTGGTTAGCGCTTTTTAGCAAGTTAGTTTTCCACAGGATGGGGTCGCTAACCGCATGCCCAACCCTCCTCCTTTACCCGGACTTTGGACTGGCAGTAACTCTAGAAGAGCTACAGGCGAAGTTAGTATGAAGGTAGCTAAAAAAATCTAGGGGACCCAAATCTTGGTTTTAATTTCCTTTAAGAATAATCTTACCTCAAGTTTCTGTAGATAAAGACGATAAACGACTAGCTAATGCACGCAACATTCTTTATTATCAACCCAACAAAGTATCTTGATTGACAAATCTGAGACATAGCAAGCTCAGCTGAATACTTTATATATTAAGAAGTAATGAGATCAAAGAGAATAACTTCATATTAATTCCCTACAAACAAATTCTAAATCGCACTAATCAATCACTTTGTAGAAGCTAATCTCATTTTTTTAGTTCTTAAAAGCGATCAAATTCTATCAGACAAGTTGCTGTGTAGCCATTAGTCTAGGTGATTTGACATCGCGTACAGTATGTCTTGATTTTAGGCGGCTGAAGGTAGTTTATAGGAGACCTTTCAGGAAGACGGTACTATAACCTTAATAGGGTTAATAATACGTACAGGATTGGAATCCATGTCATGTAGCTGCAAAATCTTAGATGTAAGCTATTCCGATGTAACTAACTAACATAAAAATCCCAAAGACGACTCTAGCCATGAAGGCATTTTCTAATCTAATTATTGTAACATGTTTCTTTTTCTAAGAGTTATCACGTCGGTCAATACTATTGATGACGGAAACCATAGCATTCTCTGAACACACACAAGAGAAAATGCTACACACACATTCCAAAAGATATTATTCTGAATAGGTATTCCTTTATAACCTTTAGGTTATCAAGCAAATGTTATAATAATACAAAATCTGCATCCCATTATGTGTACTCTGATTTTAATGAGGTGGGAAACAGAAACTATCCACCAGAGACCTAAAACGACTATCATCAGTACGATCATTGATTTGCTTTATTTCCGTTCTTACTTTTCAAGCAGACATTTGTTACACTGTAAGGTAATAAACTGAAAATTAACTACCTACAAACTCTAGAGTCTATCAAAGATAAGCTACATCGTTCCAACAATATTTACTACAGTATGGTGTCCATGGGATACACAAACTTAATAACCTTGACCAAAACGTAAACACATCATTCAAATTCAATTGAACAGTTATAGTTTTTCCACTCATGCATTACGTTAATTCAAAACATTTGGATGATAACGCAAAATGAATAATCGTACTTGGAAATAACAGAATCAAAAATACCAATTAGCTATAAGACTTTAAATGAACGAAAGCGAAACATTTTCATTTTAAAACGACTTAATTTTTAAATATGGATGTGTCTGTAGTTCGTTTGGTAGTTTAGATCTTTGGCAACAAGTATTTCACATTGAATGCGAAACACATCGATACACATAACCAGTGGTTCTGAAGCCTATGAATTCTGCATACTGTAAGGGTGGAAAACAACGAATAGACTCATAAAAGCTATGAAGCCTAGTTATTTTGACTTAGACAAAAGGATGATGAAAGAAAGTGTGCTAGAGCTTGCATCGCTCGTTAAAATATTAAAATCATAACAATACCTATTCATTCTCTAATGATATTGCAATAAAGCTATCGGTAACCTTTGTCCTTTTCTGAAAAATCTTATTTGATGCATTGTGGTAATATTCTATGTCAGCTGGACACAATGTGAATGCATCCAACCTTTTTTAATTATACCAGAGACGGTAGAGAATGTGGAATATGACACAAAAGTATCAAATGAGATCAACGCCGACCTTCTAATAAGAGACAATACAAAGAAACACTAGAATTACTCTTAAAACGTATTGTGCGATTGGAGAACCGAACTTGTAAATAAAATAAAGAATAATTCACCAAGTAAAAAGTAGCTTAGAATATGGCGCATCATGTGAAATTTGCAAAAGACAATTCAGATACGTTTATCATAATTTGCTAAGATTGTTTGAATGACACATATTACAATAATGAATCACTGATCTACTGAAACTTTAGCATCATTTTTATCTGTTCAAATATCAGTTTAAAAGCAAATAACTGGATATATTTATAGTCTGAAAACTTGGATGACTAGCTCTTCTACTCCAAAATTTCCCTGAGTTTATAATAATACTTAAGTCCGGTTTATTTCATCATTTTCCTATAATTTAATGTACAACTATTTATGTCAAATATGGTTAACTGACCCTCTTGATTTAAGAATAAAGTTCAAGAAAAACTCGACGGTCATAATAATCCGACTAGACGCTAAAGACGATGTGTATATTTTTATTCATCAGTCCTAAAATTAAAATGTTGAAATTTTATGAAATTAGCATAAAGAAGTTCATATTTCACCTAAGTAACTAGTTTGTTTTTCTACTTTTTCTTACATTTTTATAGTCATTTTATACCATAATGTTTGTCAGCTCTATCATTGTTATGATTTTCACACTGGGCTACGTGTATCAACATCGCAATGCTAGTTTGGAAGCAATCGAAAAAGGAGAGCTATCAGCTCCCAGAATAGCCTTCTCATTTCGTGGTGAAGATGTAAACTTGTATCTGCGTTTCGGAATTGGATGTGAGTTTCAATCAGTGCTATATTCATGAATTACTTTACCCTTTTGTTACCTTTGCTAGTTATTTGTGTTCGTAACTAAATGAAGAGATGTTGTTTTCTATGATGAACACCTAAACTGAAGTTATACAAATAAATATTCTTTGGTTTAATATACATTAAAAGCTACAAACCATTAGATATTATATCATTTCCATGTACGGGAAACCGGGTTATAAATGGAATATGATTATAGAATATGAATTAACGGTGTGAAAAATTTATCCTTTTGTTAGTGATATTTTATCTACTTAAGCATTAACTGTAATCACGTCTCGTTATCGTTTTTAACCGAAAATGCAATTCAAATAAAGTTTTCCATGTCTTAAATTCTATACTGCTGTTATGGTTTCTACAATTAGTTATTAAATAATAACTTTGCCATGATCACTATGGTTACATCTAAGCTCCTACACTTTTTGACACAAATGAATTGTTATACATTCTTGACTTAATAAAATCTATTTTATAGATGATTTGAGGCTCTCAAAGACGTTTACAATCAACCACCATAGAATGAAGGTTTTTGAGTTCAACCTATTTTGTAGTAGTAACATATTCAGTGTATGATCTGGAAAACATTTCCAAAGGATTGCTTTATTTATTTCTAAGCTGGTCGGCTTATCAGTTTATAGGTATTTGAGCTACATATTTGTGTTGGACGAATCCCAGAATAATTGTTAATTATGTCAAACATGAAGTTAACATTTCTGAGTTAAGCAACTATTTATTTTGGAACTATCCATGAGTTAAAAAAACACATACAAAAAGTATTTTTAGATTCTGGAGGCAACAAGTAAATACTAACAATCATATGTTGTGATATATTGTTAGGATAGCTTAGGTTCCAATCGACTAAGGCTATTATATTGTTTTTATGCTAGTTTTCTTATCCACGTAATTATGTTGTAACTGTAAAATACTATATGTTTGTGTAGATGTACAGTCAGTCGTTTGAGTTGGTGTGAACAGTGTGACAAGGCAATAGTTACGCAAAAACTTAGTCATTAACACAACCTCTAATGAAGTATTATCAAAAGACAGAACATCTTGTGTACAAGTGTGAAATCTTTTGTATAATAATAAGAGCCCTATTCCTTTGATTGCTAGTCATAGCTAAATGAGTTTTTCGTTTAAGTGATAACCCAGTCAATTTTGATGCGTTAAGTAAGAATAAATTTGTCTATGTATCTTCAGACGTCACTAAGTCAATTTGTGGGTATGACATTTTCAAAATCAAAGCAACCAGAAACATAACCTAAACTCTTCAACCTATTCATGAATGGAGTTTGAAGTAGATGGAAGTAATAATTGCCAATCAGTCATTCATTATATCGGAACGTGATAGATCAATATAATTTTAAAGTTTTCGTCAGTGAGAATTGGAATTAACTCCTTAAAAACCAGTATATTTTCCTTTGATCATCAGATAAATCAGAAGATAGATATTATTTCATTTCATCAACCTTGTCTGTGCATTAACACGATTTTAAACACAGTTTTGGACAATGGAACATGGTCGCATAGTGTCATAAATTGACTTAGGTTATATAATAATATCGTTGGATGCCGGCACGCTGGTCTAGGGACTATGCGCTCGCACGCGAGACCGAAAGTTTTGGATTCGATTTCCGCGTGAGAAATCGTGGATAGGCATCACTGAGGATCCTATACTAGGGCGAAAAAGCCGTTCAGTGCCTCCACGTTTTCATTAGCGGTATAACTTAGATCGGCTCGTGATTTCAATGAAATCCAACAATTTCCACAATCCCATACTGAACATCTTTAGGTGATTAGATAAAAAGGAAAATAAATCGCTTGTAAGACTCTGACATTCGCTGGCGCTTTTTGATCAATATTACACCTAGTCTGAGGTACTTAAATTTTTTTAAACTGTTTACTCACGATTATGTTATTCTTTGTGTTTATCATGTAATTCTTACTACAACTCGCCAAACGTAATGTGAATAAATCAATTATTTTATTGATCAGGTCAACCATATTGAAGTCATAAGTTCTCTGTTCATTTTTTATAACCATCTTTCACCCGAATTGCATGAAAATATGAGAAGCATACAGCAGATGTTCACAAAAGTAAACATATCAAAAACATTGTATAATATTTTTTATTGGGACCATTAGATGAGTTGTAGAAATTTTGTTGCTGATGATAAAGATTTTGAAAATAGTGACTCAGTAAATAAACCTCTTAAGTATAATGTAAATACATTTTAAAAGCTGGAAGACCTTAGTCTACACTCCCAAAAAGAAAGAAATTCATTTTATTCCATTAGTTCTCTTCAACCAAAAAACTTAATTCACAAGTTAGGAATGAACGTACGAGTTCTTAAAATTATTATTCAGTCTTTTAGTTCGAAGGCAACCGTATACAAAATCAATAATATGATATTAATACTAACCTCTCTTATAAGCTGAGATGATGGTAGCTAGCAGTGGAATCCAGGATGAGCGTTTCGTCCTATTTAAGACTCGTCAGTTGAATGTGACTGCATCCCAGAGTTGATGTTGTTTACGTTGTCATGATAAATTTTATTTTTGAGTTGAAAATAATCACCTTGTAACTGATCATGAATTCGTCGAGAACCGCAACATAATCTTCATGAACCTAATGTTCTTTCAAAATCTCCATGGTGAAGAATGAAGAAACTGTGTAAAACCTAATCGATGACCTTGGCAAAATGAATACTACATGTATATATCTTTGATATAGGTATGAGACTGATGTTCCTTTGACAGCATTTGTATTTATGGTCATTTAAAGCTTATACACATTCACGGGTTAGAAGAAATCCCTTAGCTTGCAATTATGTTTAAAAAATCATTTATCATTCATCTATAACTTATTTTTACTTACCATGATCTCACAACGAAAAACTACATGAATCATACAGAAAATAATGATCATGTCCCCTTGACAAAAACAAATTAAAGTATATCTTACCAATATTTTTCAACGATCACTCAAGCTTATACAGAATAGTCATTGGAAATGCTGTTAGAAACCAGTCAGCTGTAATGATCTCAGAGGTTTTTGTCAGAAACTTAGTAGAAACGCAGCTCAAGCCGGTGCTAAGACCATAGACTTGATACTTGAAGCAACTATTAACATGCTTCCGGTATATTGAATGATTTCAATAAGACATACCTCAGAATATGATTCATGGAAACCCATGGCCATGTCAACAGGTTTTAATTGATTGTTGCCTACATGGAACAGACTGATCCTTAAAATAGTCTAAATTGTGCATGACCCATCTTTTTTTATCCCTGATTTGCTCATAGATTAAAATGTACAATCCAAAACACACACATCAGAAAAACAAAGAGAAAGGCTATTATTTCTTCATCCTATTACATCCCACAGAACTTGAAACTTAAATTTCCAAGCTAATTAACAATGCAGTCACACGTCATATGACTTTTGTGGAATTAAATGTTTGGGTCTGAAAATCGCTTAAGATGTTCAATAAGTAAGCTAGCTAGAACTTATTAAGCTTCAAAAAATCCACTTTTCGTTTATTTATTCATTTGTTTTGAGTTTAGACTGACTCATCTTTTACATTCTAAAGTTTTCCATGATAGCTTTCGTTTTGCTTTATGTGATTCAAAACCGTTAGATAACCAAAATCGAATATAGCTTCAGACACTCGGTTACAGTATATCGACGCTCGATAACTTATTTTTAGTATTTATTAGATATGTCACTATCTATCCGGAACTCCATATCATGAATGACCAGATGATATAGTGGCAATATTGTCATCTCTTTTTTAACTTACCAAGCCAGTAAAAAACTAAAATACACTCTTAACTCTTTAAGACTTCCATATCACTTAGTCAAAAACCTAACAACACATACACTCCTACAACAATTAGGAATATGAATTCCTTGGATTTAATTTACTATTCAAACGGAGCAAGAGCAATAAGGTTTGCAGAATAAATCAACCCATCATTCTATTTCACGGTTTCTCATCAGTTAGATACAATTCTTAATATGAATATAATTGTTAACAAATGTTTAGGATACTTTGGATTGTAATAATTCAGAGGTCATATAAAGATAATGAAATTAACAAGTGATTGGGTCATTGCCCAAGATGATAAAATAAACAAATATGTGAATATCACTCAGATTATGTTAGAGATGAATATCAGAAGACGAAAATATAATCAAAATTAAAAGGTCGGGGACAGGGTTGAAAAATAGTTTGAAATTAACAAAGGTTATTAGACAAAAACCCAGTAACCATAGTAGGAAAGGGAAATCAAATTAACCGTTTGTATACACAGGTCAGGTCGAAAACGTTAGATAGTTATCGTCCTTGCGAAATGGAGTAAGATTGATATTTTGTTTATTATTTTATTATTTTGAATGCATCACCTACATTCACTTCATACCCAATATCCAAAAGATATCTGACAATCGCTCTTGTAAAGACTTTACGCCTTTTTAACTGCAGGTTACTGAAAATGTGTTCATGAAACCCTTCAGAGGTCCTTCTCTCCGTCCTTCCTATGTACTTGCCACTGCAGGTACATGTACGTTAAAAAATGCAATTGCAGGTGACGTCGTAAGGGTATTGATCTACATTTGAATGGTGTAGAAAACACTTGGTGTTGAAGGTATTAATGCCAAAATTGGACTTAATGGTTTCAAATAAATTAGACACTGGGTAGAAAGTTAATCACAAATATATTTTTTGTTATGTCTCAACGAGTAGAAAAATTTTTCTACTCATTGAGATATAACAAAAAGTAAAATTATTATTAACTTCATGATGTATTGTGAAACCAATTGAGCTGCAGAGAATCTCCTTTTCGGTGCCGCCTTGACAATCCTATCGGTTCTTCCTGAAATCTTTTCTCCCTTTAACGGAGGGCGGATGAAGACAGGTTTCTTTCCAACAGTTGGTTGTTTCTTATCTTTGGGATATTCTTCCCCGTATTTCGCAATACATTTCCTTATTTATTCATTTTTATGAGATGTTTTTTCCGAATAGCCAATTCCTCATTTATTTTGTCGTTTTAGAAAACATCGTAGATCTATTGAAGAGTATTTTGACTAGACATCTTTTGTAAATGATAAGACAAAAGTTGGTAAAGTTCAATCACTGTCCTGTCCACGTTTCTCTCTTATTTATACTTTTCCAAGTAGTCTTACCATTTTTGATCTTACTTTAAAAGTTACAAAATTGAATTGGTTGTCTCGTTCATATTCTATTGGCAATGTTATTCTGGGATGAGAGTTGTTGAAGCGACTAATTAACTGAGAAGCGTGGTCCATATCATCACAAACAATGAATGTATCATCAACATATCTGAAGTCGTATGTTGTGTTCTGGATTTCGTGTTTCGGTTTCGTTTGTTTTAGGTTAGCTGTGAAAATATCAACTAAATGGTCACACCATAACCACTCCATCGGTTTGTTTGTATAGTTGATTGTTGAGTTGGAAGTGAACCCGTTTCGTGAAAAGTAGCAATAATTTTCCCAACAGATTTTTCAGGCAAAGGAATTCATTCAGATTGCTTGCAATCATATTAATAGTTTCTCCCAATAGTATACTCGTAAATAATGAACATACACTAAAAGATACCATGAATTGATCTGATGCATTCAACAGGTCCGTTTTTTGGGGGAATCTGAAATGCGTCTTTTAATCTACCAACCGCCACTTTTCTACCAACTACTTCTAATAATTTGGTTAACTTCCGAGCCGACTTATGATATGGTGAATTCATCAAAGTCACTATAGGCCTTAACATGATGCTCAATGTGTGTACGTTTGGGAGACCGTACACAAAAGGCAGTCGTGATCCTTTTGAATTATCAATGAGCTCCGTCTTTGAATGTTCCGTAAGATATTTATGAACCCTTTTTCCGATTGATGCAATAGTATCTTTCCTAGAGTTTCCGATCTTGATGTATCGTTCAGAATTTGGAACATTTTATATACATAATCTTTTGGAACTATTATTACAACACCAGAACCTTTATCTGGTCTTACTATAATAATCGTATTATACTTTTCTAAACTGTTTAGTGCTGACATAAATACCTTTGTCAAACGTTTTGAATGTGGAGTTGTGGAAATATAGCACTGATTTCTAATATCAGCCATTTTTGATCGAAACCAACCTTTTCTGTCCTTTTCTATATGTTTAAAGCCAGTAATTTGTTGATACAGGCTTCCGAACTGCGTTTGTATATCAATTTTTGACATTTTCATATGCAACATGAAATCTAAATCCAGGAGAGAGCTTGGCTTTCAACTTTTTACCCTCTATACTTGACAGATTATGAATATGTTTTTCGCTAGATTCAGGTAATTCTTCATGTATTAATTATTTCTTTCACTAGGGGTTTCAGTAGTGTATTCTCAAAAGAATTGGATGTATTACGTTGTAGCTCTTGGACGAATTTCGTGAACTTAATTAGGTAGATAATGTTTAGATTATCAATGAAAGTGTAGAATGGAAATACTTCCGATTTCAGAGATAAAATATACTTACTAGATGACTCGATATGAAATTAGGTAATTCGACGAATATTCTTCTGTAGAAATGAACGTTTGGTTGAGCGAAGTATCTTGAAGAATTAACGGAGAAAGCAATCTGTTTCTAAACATTTATCAAATAACTTCACTCTTGTCGACTCTTGATATTCTACAACGAAACGTCACAACATAGTTCGGTGATTTGATTGACTTTTCAGAGAGGCGTTTTTTCAAAAATGTCATACAACCAGATCCCTTGATAAATTTAAGGAGAGCGAGAACAATAAAGCTTGCAGAATAAAATAAATTCATTCTCTTTCCCGGTTTCTCGTCAGCTGCATACAACTTTAGTTTGTGAAGTTTCGATAGATGTTTGGAACATAACCAAAATCATAACAATCAGAACTTACTATCGCCATTAATATTATTGTGTTGTATACAATCTACGGTACAAAAATCTGAAGTAACTTTTTAACCATGCCCTATTAAATGTCAAATTTAAGAAGAGAATATCGTTGTGAGATTATTATTACTTGGTTATCTGATAAGAATTTGAGGATTCACTAAACTGAAGTTTACTTTGGTTAGGATGATATTCTTAGTCCATGTTTGTGTTTATTTCTTTGAAATAAATAGATGTTGTTTAGATAAACATGATGCATGTATTAAATACAAATTTCGTGATTATCTTCTTTCTTTTAATCACTTAGAACAGCTACGTATAAGCTATTTCCTAGTCTATTACTGAATCGTATGACTGAGTAAGAGAATCAATGACATAGGTCAAGCTCTCGAATTCACTGGTTGTATTTCTTTATTATTTGATATTGTTTTTTTTCAGTTTAGATATTTCAGTTGACAACGACATTCTGAGAACAATGAAAATTCAAATCTTTTTGTATGACAATTTTAATTTTCGACTTAAAATTAGAGGCTTTATTTTCTTTTTCAATCTAATTACTCATTAAAAGTGTATGCCTAAAAAATAATATTCGGTTCTCTTGGAATCTCCACATTTTAATACTTTAACTAAAGAGAAATAGTATGAAATTCAAGGAAATCGTAACCATATATTCTAGTTTATAGTCAACGCTATTTCATTTTCCTTTTTTAAACAACGAATCCATTAAGTTGATGGCTTTTTATAAATATGGTAAAAAATTATTTACACTGGCAGAAGTTTTATTTCTAAATTCATACTATCTAATACACCGATTCCTTAATGATTCACCTTCTCATGAAATTAATCTTCAATAACTTTCGGAAACTTTCATCGAGTCTATCAAATCTTCTAATTATTTGTAACTCTTAGCACATGGAACGACTAAAGCTTTGTAAATTATTTACAGGAAAGACTTCGTTCTAAGAGACATTTTGATTTCAGTATTAGTCAACCGTGTTCCCTGAATTTTAGATTAATTTTTCAATTGTATTTTGAAATTTTACTCAAACTTCCTAATTAAATGAATAATGTATTTGTAATAACCCAATGAGTACAAAAATTAGATTTTATGACGTTTCGTGACTCAGTGTAAGTCACTTCTTCAGAGAATAAATAACCAAATTAACATTAATCCAACTTTAAATAGTACAAAGGAACAACATGAATATTCGTGTTGGTTATTTATTCTCTGAAGAAGTGACTTACTCTGAGTCCTGAAACGTCATAAAATCTAATTTTTTGTACTCATTGAGATATTACAAATATATTAGTTTTATTTATAACAATCTACCCAATGCTCAAATTATCAAATCAAAACGTAATAATGATACCCACAAATTTCCTAACTGATTTCCAAAGACCGATCCTAAACACTATTCTTATCCTTTTAAATTTTTATGATATTAAGTTAACATCTAATCAGCATCTGATATGATAATCATGTATAAACCTCACTATAAAGGACTTTATTTAGAATGAAAGTAATATAAAAACGTACCTGTAGTAGATGTATTTAAAGGGGAAAATAAATAACAACCTTTTGAAAGTTTACCGGACATTGTTTTGATCTTTGTTATCAAGTACAGAGTCCTTCCGGATTTTTATAAAAGATTTCAAACAAGTACTGTAACTACAGTAACTAAAAGAACTATCTATAATACAGTTAGACCAACTGAAAGATATCATCATATTTGAAATGCTCCCCGTTTGTACCAACACACTCATCCTGTCTTCGTTTTCATTGCCACAAACAATCAGGGAATTCACATGAAGATAGAGTCTTCAAATTCCTCGTCGTCTTACGTTTATCGTTTCCGTACAAATATGTTTTGATTCAGTGGACATGAAGTCTACATGACAAACTAACGTCAGCTAGATTAGCATTAAAAACCACTAAACATTGGCTAACTGCTTTGTCCTAGTACAAAACAAATCAGCAGTAAGCATTCACGACTCCACCAACGTTCGAACCTGGAACTTTCAGGTCTTTCAGAGAGTCCTTAACCTTCTGACCCCTGAGTTGGTACCTATCTGTTTAGATTTCTGGCTTCAATCAATTCTCGCTGCTGCACAATCATCTTTAAAGGTCATTGGTGAGTGACAGCCTCACATTTGATATGGTTGATCTCTACATTTTATGGCTTCTTTTCAGAGTTGACATGAGTAAGACCTAAACGTACTGGGCTCGGTCATCAGTGGGATCGTGGACGCTCACTGCTAACAAGTCCATACTGGAACGAAACAGCCGTCCAAGTGTTCCTGGTTTCCACTGGTTGTCAGTTTGTTATGTAAATTGTAAAAAACAACACTATTCACAAGTGCCTTACACTATCAGTGAATATATTTAAATCACAAGTTAATGTCTTCTAGAAAACCAGCCAACACCAAAAGATACTATGCATTTAATTTTTTTGAACTGGTAACTTTAGAGACAAGCAAAACCATACTTTTAACAGTGTTTAATTCACGCCTTCACATTTTTTCTCCAAGCATATAAACGTTCAAGTCTAGTGTTATGGGTCCGAATTAAAGACTAGATAAAACGATTGGCTAGCATAGTCCTTTTTAATGGCTTCCAGCTAATGTTAGTTCTTTGGGAAAACTACCCGACATAATCCACTAAGCAAAAGCTTATTAGTAAAAGAAGACATTTTACTTAATAAATCAGTGCACAAATAATATTCCCAGTTTCGCGTTTAATTCATAAGTTGAGTGACCGACAAAAAGCTTACTTGTTCTAAACTAATCAACTGAGACGAAATCAAACCTTCAAACATAAGTTCATGCAAACGTTTCTAGGTTTATGCCTAGTTTTATGCTTTGAAACTTAAAGTTCATCTGGGAAATAATTATTTACTATTATACTTAGTGTCTGTCTTCTGTTACTAACTTTACTTTCATTTTTTTCTAGTGTTTGCGGCTATGTCTATCGTTCACTCAGCTACAAGATGTTATGAAATTGCGAAGAAGTATCCGTTACATGCGGCCTCTATTATTTACATATTTTTCAAAATTCTGTTCTTTATCACTCAGACTGTATTTTTGCTACTTTTACACCGTGTAAGTTCCCAATTTTTGTTTAAAAACAACTATGTATTTATTTGCAATGAAAACATATTTCTCGTAAAAAAAATCTATCCATTTCAGATAGAGATAATGTAATTTATTTTTAAATTATAATCCATCTGATGAGTCGAAGATCACAGATGGACACAGATGTGAAGTTAATGTCAACATATGTTGTAGTACATATAAATGTTTTCCTTTCTCAGAGATTAATAAACAGATCAAAAGAAAAACACAACATAAATACAAGGTTCATTTTTTCACATAGGGATCATGTTCTGAAGACTTTATTAGGTTTAAAGTTTCCTTCATTGCTAACTGATATCAAATGAAAAACCATTAAAATTCATCTACACCGATTATATGTTCCCCTCTAAAATGGAACTCAACAACATCAAATCTGTTCACTCCTGCATAGTTTGGAAAGAAAAACTTCTTGGTTGCTGTAAAGTATAACAAAGTTTAATCATCCATTCAAAATCCAGAGTATTGATAGTAACTTCTTCACGACCGGTTAGTTGTAGTCATTTATAGCAACTAATGAGAAATTATAATGGGTGAATAATACTGATCATCATATTTCTTCATTGTTTCCTTTAGCAATAATAATGAACCCCCTTTTAATAGGAGTTTCAGCAATTCACGGATATTATGAGTGTTCCTCGTACCCAGTTTCTACTATCCAGAATAAACTATTACTTTATGGGTATCATTAACAAGTTTTGATTTGATGATTTTGAATAAATTGAGCATTAAGTAGATTGTTATAAATTAATAATATATTTGTAATATCTCAATGAGCACAAAAATGAGATTTTATGACGTTTCATGACTCCGTGTAAGTCACTTCTTCAGAGAATAAATAACCAAATTAACGGTTGCTCGAACTTCGTGGGTTGGTTGAAGTTATACATTAACACCGTTGGATGCCGGCTCAGTGGTCTATCGGTTAAATGCTCTTGCTCGAGACTAGTAGGTCCTAGGTTCGAATCTCGCGAGTGCGGGATCGTGGATGCGCACTGCTGAGGAGTCCCATAATAGGACGAAACGGCCGTCCAGTGCTTCCAGGTTTTCCATGTTGGTCTAGCTTTAATTGACTCATGGTTTCAACTATGAAAAACACTGAAATCTCCACAAAACTCCTTCTGAACCAAGTTTAAATAGTACAACGGAACAACACGAATATTAGGTGCGATCAATCAAAAAACAGGTCTGAAATAATCAATGTCATGTCATTTCGGTCAAGGTGATTCATAAGCGACATGTATGTTAATTTGTGTGCGTATGTGTGCACTGTTAATGATGAAAAATGTATGACCTTTATAATGACAAAGGATAAAGTTTGATTTGTAAGGTAATAGTGTGAATTGTATATAATATCAGACTAGGTGACTAGGATTGATAGTCCAAGTAAGATGTATGGTAAGGCCTTCCTTTCTATTGAGAGCAGTAGGATTAAGCATTATATGGAACGCTTCAGCTATTCTCCTTTCTTTGTAATTGGAAAAATCATTTTGTAATATTTTGATATTTTTGAAGTCGATTTGATGATTGTTGAAAATAGTGTGAACTGCTATTGACGATTTAATTTGAAGTCTATGCAGTTCTACAGGATTATTAGGAAGTTTCTTTGTGTACCTAATATATTCTTTGGCACGAGTCAAGATTTCGCGAGATGACTCTCCAATATAGAAGGCATCACAATCGATACAGCCTAATTTGTAGACGCAGTTCTGTGTAGACATGAATGAGATTTTTTCTTTTAATCGAACTAAAGTATCTCGAAGCGTGTTCGTTGTTTTGTAATATACTTTAATTTTGTATTGTCTTAAGATTCTTTGGAGTTCTTCTGTTGTGCCATGACAGTATGGTAGAACTGCAGTACCAATCCATGGCAGTTCATTCGAATTATTATTATTGCGCACTGAACCGTCTTGTTTTAATATACTTATAATAATCTTCATAAAAAATGATTAAATTGTAAGATACTAATTACATTCTTTTGTTCACTTTGTTTGTCCTCTTCTGAGTCACGAAACGTCAGAAAATCTAGTTTTTCTACTCATTGGGATATTAAAAATATATTATTTATTTAAAACTATTACTTTGTTTATTCACATAATTTTAGTGATGTTCTAATCCTGTCTATTGGGATTACCTAAACGAGAGAGTGAATAATGTAATAAGTAGTATATTGCTCTAATTTTATGGGACTTCTATTGGTGAGTTTATGTTGAAATGCAAACTGTTTAAGCAATCAAGATTTATTCGTTTCTGGATGTACTAATCAGTCTAATTCGGTCGACCTTGTGTTTAAAATATATCTTAGTAACTGCGACCGAAATAAAAGATTGTGTGATGATTAGTTTGGTAGCTTCTAAAGGTGCACACTAGCAACTGATATTGCTTGAAGCAATTGCAAAAAATTGTATCAATTTATACATAAACACTAGACTAGATACTGGATTTCTAGTTTAGAAATTGTGAGAATACTTGATTTGAACGCCTTTTAGAAATTTATCAAGAACATGACCCAATCAAAAATATAGGATCCTTGCTATACGGATACACTATAATAAGATAACTGGTAAATTGAAAAGCAATCCGAATATACCAGGTGGCTAGGGGTGGGATCGATGGTTACAAAAAGAGAGTGAGTCTTTTATTGCTTGAGTATTTTAGGAATTCGGTTACGCTTAGTATATACTAAATTAAACCAACGTAACTAATAACCACATCTATAATGTTAGGCATAATGCTCCTTCAGGATTTTTAATAGTAATGTGCATACATATATCGTTCATTCACATAAATAAATCGAATGTAAACCTGTTTGTCTTGTTTTCCCTAAGATCTTATCGCTTAGATATAGCATTATTTAAAGACAACTGTCCAACTGTTATTTATTTTATGCACGAGCATAATTACTTTTAAAAAGATCAATAATCTTTAATGAATATTTATGAAGGAATTCAATTAAAAACCTTGTTACGAAACACTTTTTGAAGATATCATTATTCCACCTTTTTCTATCAATTGAAATCCTTACTTTGAAAAAACAAATTACTTGGAGAAAAATATAAATCTACCTCACAGCCAACATGGAAAAGCTATCAAAACAAACCCAGTCAGTAACATGAATGATAAATAGATGCCACACTTGTCCCAATAAAATGTCCGTTACTTTATCTGTATATACATTTTTGTCAGAATTACTGAAAGTCTAGTAAATCTCTTGTTTTTTACAAAAACATCCCTTCAGGTGACTTGACTGATAAATATTTTGCTTATGCTCTAGGAGACTTGGTAAATATTCATCTGTTAAGGTGAGAGAATTGATTTATTATGTTTTTGTGGATAAATTACTTCTTGTTATAAAAGCAACATATTTACTACGGTTAAATACTTTATGGTGAGGCAAAAGAAATTTTCGTTTACTACAGCTAAATTTGAAACAAACAGTTCTGTAACTTGGTCAACAACTAATGAAGTGAAGACAAAATTGTTGATTATGAGATCATCCTACATACAACTGTATATTAAACTTGTTTATTGGATCTTTTATTTCATAATTCTTTTCTTAAATGGGTTGTTATAAATCGAAATCCAGATACCTCTAAGGAATCACGCTTATTTCTCTGCACCGTAACAGATGTACAGTCTGAACAGCATTATATAACCGAAGGTTCACGGCGACAGTTAGTTTTAAGTTATTTTGGTCAAACTAGATAACGTTTTATACAATGAATGGGGCATTTTTTTATTTATAAATGAAAGGGAAACGTGTTTCTAACTCTCGTTCTAACTAACATATAGCTATAATGAACGATGAGCTTTGACGTTTAGATCGGATATCTGATTCAAACTTAATCTTTCCTGTTATCATCTAACAAACAAACACAATCGTGTTTGTTTCTTAAATGATAATAGCAATGACTAAAAACTAAATGACTAAAGTGTACGATAAATTCAATACCTGTAGGAATTTGTTTCTTCATGCTTAAACAAAACAGAAAATTATTACATCTGAATAAATGCTATTTTATTAATAATGTATAAATAAATTTTGTCCTTTTTGCATTTTTCCAATGTTTCATTTTTACAGATAGTAATTCTTGTGAGAATACGAATCTTCAGTTTTATACTACTACACATTCTAACGGTGAATCTGTGCATCTGGTCAGATGCTGTTATTAAAAAAATATCTAAGAGTATTGGAACTTTGGCTGTTCTAAATGTGACTGTTGTACATAAAAAGTATGAACTAGCGGCAACAAATTATTTTCTCCCTGCAGTACCAGAATATTGTGCGATTGCTGTGGCTGTAGTTTACGAATTGTTACACCGTGTTGGGCAGTTGAAGCAAATCGAATGTCAACATGAAGTAAGATGCATATATGTTTACATAAATTTAAACACTAAAGACAGCAGAATAACGATATAATAACACTAATAATAGGAGAAACTACATATCAGTGTATCAACCGAGAAGCCTTTATATTTTTTCAAGTGATTTAAAGATAAATGTCTATTTCCTACGCAACCAAAAAGTATATACTTCAAACATATGAAAATTCATCTAATAAAATGCTGTAGCAGTTACATATCTGTTGAATGTATTTGACCTAAACTCTATTGAAATAATTGCGATCACCTAAACGTATCTTGATGAGAGTGGAATATGTAATCATCATTTTATACGAAACTTCCAATATAGTCCTTCTATTTCTTAAGGAATCAACCTCGCTTTTGTTTTGAACTCTGATTATCAATTAACAGTCAGATATGACTTCTATACTAAGCCCACTTAATTATTGATAGTCTAACCATCACTGGCCACTGTTATGATAGACATAACTGATTACGTTATTTATATTGATAGATTTAACCAATTTTTTGTCCTGTATACCATCAGCTTGGTGGATAAATAGTTTTCCTTGATGTCAACGCCTGGTAAAATCTCTTAATGTTAAGTCTTTAAATGCGTTTTCATTACTCTTACCATTGATCACCCTAAGTAAATTTACATATCGTAACTAAGCAATCTTTTACTGGTAATTCATAGCAACCGGTGACTGTTCATTAGTAATGAATTTCGGAAAGTTCCTTTACTTTTAACAACCTTATAATGACATGTATATCCATAAATATCATTAACAATGAGATAAATGTAATCTCAAAGTATCAAGTGAAAAGTTGCTAATTACACTAAAAAAACAGTTATGTAATATTTCTTATACTAGTTTGTGATAAACGCTCATGAATAACTTAACTGCATGGTTAAATCTTGCGAACACAGTATAAAATATCTTTTATCATTATCTGATCATAACTCTAAAAAATAATTCTTTTATTTATGAATGACACTACATATAATGAACTCATGGAAACAGCTCATAATAGTTAGAAAAAGCTTGTATGAATTCTTAGCCTCAATGCCTTTTAGACAATAAACAGGAAAGAGGCTTTTCCTAGTAACACGAACTCTTTTGATAAATATGCTACTACATCACTCTTTATATGTTTGAGATTTGGACATTTTCGGTTTTTTTTCATAAATTTTCTATTTTAAGCAGGTTTTGTAATTCTTATCTGGTCAGCAAGCTTTGACTTTGAAATTATCTTTTACGAATGTATTACACTAAGGCGTTAGACATACTGTACACTAAAATTCTCTTTTTCATCACTTCTGAAATCAAGAAAGTCGTAGACAATTTTGGCTTCTTCGGTGGTGCTCATTTTTATATTATTCAAAAGATAAGATATATTAATCCTTCTTATTTTAATCGCATTACTGTAAAAATGTTATCATAAACTAAATTGATTGTATTTAAAATATAGCTGTAAAGTAATTTCCTGCATCTGGTTGAAACTAGATAAGTATTTCATTTAATGAAAACGTAGGTTAAAGTAACTTATTATTAACACTTCTCAGTGAAAAATTAAAACAGCCATAATTGTCACTGTAATATTGAAATCGTCTGCAAGCTTATTACTAAATCATATTCTGACAGAATCCTAAGGAATTTGTCAGTGTTCAAATTTCTATGGTTTTCATTTGATCAAAGTATTCTAACTTAAGACAAAGAAACAGTAATTTCTAAAAAAACTGATCGGAAACCACTTGCGTAGCAATTAAAACCAGCTTAACATCATACAGAGCCAGTGTCAAAATAAAAACAAAGAGATTACTGCAGCAGAAAAAAATATCGGTCTATAAAACTGCTGAACAAACGAAACGATGATGACGAGATAGTTGTTAAAATACTGAGAAGTGCATTAACTCAGAGTAACATGGTCATCAAAAATTGTTACAATAAACAAACTGAAGTTGGCAGATTTCTAAGTCTCAACAGCTTTTAGTGTCATTTTATTTCACATCCGCATACAAAAATAAAAAGCATGGAAAAATTATCATCAAAATTGTGAAGTCATTCATTTGTCTAATTTCCTGTCCAAATACCTATAAAATAGATTAATTTAAAACCCTGTTCACAAAGTTCCGTGATGAAGTCATTTGAAGCACTCTAAGTAAACTATGGCTTTAAATTTGAATGAATAATCTTTACATTTTGTACTATCTTCAGTTATTATAAAATAAATGAATATATTCAGCGATAAAATATACTAATCAACTTCTTTGAATACAAAAATGTTCAACATTCTGCACGGACCATCTTAGATTTCGTCACAATGTATACATCCTGATCGTTTTAAAGCCAAGTAAATATTTTCGGAGAGTTAAGAAGACCGAAACAACTTTAAATCAGTAAACTGCATAGTTCTTTTTCGATAACCATATCTAATAATGGAGTGAATAATGTATAGAAAAGTGGGAAATTACTTTAAAAATGTGTACAAACTGACGAAAATAGCTTTACATTTTTCATTTAATTGGAGCTTTTATTCATTACTGGATTGATCTGAAACTCCTTATAACTGTTGAGATTAAGTGAATAATCACATGTAAATTTTTGCGACAGTGTAAAACATATTCATCATGCGCTTTAGAAGAATAACCTTCTTTCTCTTCTCACTTTAAACTTTATTGATCCTAATCACCACAAACATTGAACTTAGTGATGAATTTTCGATTTTTGAAAGCAATGGAACTAACAATAAATTCTGTGGAACGGAAATAAGTAAACTCCATAGCTGATGTAAATCGAAGTGTTATAAATGGTAAAGAGTTATAAGAGTGGCTTTTCTAGATTTTAATACATTAATCTACTAGTAACTTTATTACTTTTGCGACATTTTTTCTTATTTAACTGGCCAGTCAACACTGCGTTTCGATAATGAGAGTATATTCATCAACAGATTAAAAACTATACGTCTCAAACTGAGTTACCTTAGTCCTATACTAAGTCAATTAAATTCTAATGATACCGACAAATTAAATGCAACTTGGGGTGTTAGATGAACCTCCTAATAGTCAGTGATTGTAAGACAAACTATGAAGCAATTATTTACCTTTTTGTTAGTAACTTGAATCATATTTAAAACCACCAAAACAAAGTTAATTTATCAATCAATACTATTATTAAATATTTAGTGAGTATTTGTAGTTTTATTTACATTGACTATCAGAATATGACTACCTATGGACGTAATAATTACCTATATTGGAAGAAACATGTTTCCTGAACTATATTTCCTATCAACTAAATAATACTTTTAATGTTCTGCGATAAATCCAATTTAATCAAAAGGATTTTTCAATGTAACCTTTTTAAAACGTAAGTTAGTAAATTCTAGCCATACATGAATGTACTTGTTTTCTTTTCCTGTTTCTCTTTAAAATATTAGAAAAAAGAAGAACATCATGTGAAATGTGTTGATCGTGGTTCCATTGGCATCATTATTGGAACAATTATAATTTGTATTGTTATGGGAGTTGTAATGTTATTGGAGATTTGGGGGAAAAAAATTCATGATTACGTATATATTGCTCATTCAACTGAAACAAGCATACTTTTTATTATTGCATTGATATTCTGTGTTATTGGTATATGGAGTACGAGAAAATTAAAATTCTCCGTGAATTTTTCAAATCAAAATTTAGATAGCAAATTATTAATAGTTACATTTTTTATAACTGTCACATTTTTAGTGGCATGTATTCTACTCAATATCGCATTTTTATTGGGTAATGGTTTCAATAAAAATGAACAACAGTGTCTTAAATTACATTTATTCTCAGCACTTTTAGAGTTAATACAAGTTACAGTACAGAATTTTTTCATAAATGACTTATTCTATAGATGTTGTCACGACGCATCATATCAACAGCGTAAACCAGGCCGTGCAATGATTGCATTATTATCAGCCATAAATTTTTCATTGTGGATGATTTATAGCTTTCAGGTAAGATACCAAGTACTTTAATTTTTGTGATTTGATTGCATACAATATACATACATATTTCATATGCCAGATATATCAGAAAAAAATTATTGAGGCGTTCATCTCCAAACAATTACATACTATTTTGGTCTCCATGCGGTCACAAACTTCTATTTTGTTAGGGTAATATTTTAATAAAATAAAAGTTTCCACTCAGATATTTAGAAAAACGTAAATATTATTAATGAAATGTTACTTTTTAGTTAGTTCTTTATCATGGCTTTATACTAATATATATACCATACATTAAATACTCCATTTTCAAATTTCCATCCTGTGTACTTCCCATTCTGTATGATTCTTCCGATTCATAATTCCTTTCTTATTCTGTTTCTGTTTTCTTCAAGTAAACTTTCATAGCCTTCTGCTGTCAAGGTTTCCACTTCCCATTGATGTTACATACTACTTATGTCGATAAACTTATTTATCATACACCACAACATTAGCACTACAATATCACGTTTGACAAATGATTAGCAAAATAACCAAAAAAAATTAGAATGAAGTAGATAAGATATTCAAAGAAATATTCGCAAATAAATCAAAATATATCGTTAAAAGGTTGGTAGATTACGAAATGCCTAATAAGAGAATAGACAACTAGTCGAATACTGATGATAATCGTGGAAGAGTAATGACTTGAACGTTTCAGTTATGTAAGTATAAAAAGGGCGAAACTAATAACGAAAATAAGAAGTAACTAATAAATCTGTTTTAATCTACTTTACTTTTGAAAATCTTCTACTTTACTATAGCTTATATTAATGGTTCCTACCTTTTTATTTCAAAGGAAAATGGTCATTTGTCTGCTAATGACACAGTTACATACAGCCTTCTAAGAGTCGAACTTTCAACACTTTATCTATTTCTTATTACCCTTATATATAAGTCAACTTTAATTAATTTTTAATTGTGTTTTGTACTCCGAGCTGAGTAGTTTATTACAGAGGATTTTATTGCTGTTCTTGAAAACATCATAAGAGCTCATTTCCACATGAAGCATGCCACAGCTAAATCTTACACCTCAAAGAATACAAGCAAAATCGTCTATTTAAGATGCGAATTTCCTCCATTATGTCGAAATTTCAACAGTAACAAGGATTTATCCCACTGTTAGCCAACAGATACTAAACTTCTATAATAAAGTGTTCTTGAGGATCTATAGATACTCGGTCTTGGGGATATTTTTAATGCTAAAAACAGATTCATGGAACTACGAAGTGTAAATTTCTATCCAGGAAAGTTAAGTCATCTGCTTAGGGGAATAATACATAGCAGTCAAGACGAAACATGTTTACAAACCATTCTGAACGAGAATAATATGTGATTAGACCAGAATACAAATTAACTGTATGAGATAAATGACTGCTGATCTAGTTGAAATTCTACACTATCTAGTAACTATCCAATTTATGTGACATGAATCAGCACTCACAACTCTATTTAAATTCTATTTAATACTCATTTTCTTTAAAAACATAGGCTTTTTATTACTAGTTTAAATTTCATTTTTAAATATTACTTTTATTGCAGAGTGACATCTGACGAAAACCCATTTAACTCCGAAGAGCACTAAACAGCTGGTCTGTACTATATGCTTATCAATGATAATGATCACCAAAACCAAAATAAAGCCAAAGTAGCACCTTCGACTAATAAGCATGAACAATACCAGACGATGATTGAATTCCTATCTAATGGTCTCTAATTTTTAAGTTTAATACACTGGTAAAACCCTAACATATTAACTACATATAATCAGATTCATCGTAGAAATCAAAGATCGTGAACCCGATCGTCAAGTAGAGTCATTTTTACTCATTGTTGATGGGTCCTAAAGGAAACATTAGAACTGACTAGTGCACCTAACGTTTTAAAGGTTTTATAGATTATCAGTCGAGAAAGAAAACTAAAAATTTCTCTACGTACGACTATGTCCATACTTATTAATTGTTGTCCTTTTGTTCCACTTGCATGCATGTTAAAGTGAAATAATACAAGCAGGCGTAAGATTTTGTACCTTTACATCAGTATGTTTGTTTTAATTTTAAACATAACTATGAGTCAGCAGGATGTTTCATTTGGTGCAATATTATAAGACACAACAAAATTATCATAGTAAAATAACTTCGATTTCTTCACCTGCAATTTTTCCACTACACAAGATTATCAAACCTTTACCAGTTTATCCTTTTCCTGGATGTCAACATCACAAAACACAACTACTAACGATCCTGGTTAGTTTTGCCGTCACCAAGCTTAGGTTTATTCCCTTCATCAATTCCTCAAATATCATATTTTAAAACCTGTCACTAAGTATATGTTTTATAAGACAGCCCCCAAGTAGTTAACATTGAAAAGGATACCATATGACTGTTGGTTATTCAGAAAAGTTGGTTTGACCATATTTTATGGGCCTGCATAATATAGTTTACTTCAAACTAATCAAAAATAAGTTACCGTGTTCATCCAAAAAAAGAATAATTAAAATTGTTTTTAAAAAAATGGTCACCGGAAGATTTAGCCAAATTATTGTAAAATTGAAACGACCTTTGAAGAACAAAGTTTAGTTTTTCCTTTAATTAAATTTATTTAAAATTATTTAAATTAATGAGAATACTTCATAGAAGTTGAGCATTGCCTAAGAACTATTATCTGATACAAACCTATACTCAACAGATTTTATTCTTTTAGACTGGCGTGAAGTACGATTTCCAATATATTGATTAACTTCAGTTGTTTTACATTGTGCATCACCTAATATAAAACCTTTTTTTATCTACTTCCGATTTCTATTTGGACTAGGCAAAACATAACAATATACTACTCAGTGTGAATAAAAACTATGTACAAACAAGTGAACTTCAAAGTTTGTTCATCTACATAAATGTATCTCTTCCAATGGTTATGTTATATCGTTATCACAGTAGTGTGTGCTTAGCAATTGAATACATTCGTGTATATGAAGATGAAATAACACGATATGAAAGTATGTTACGTGGAGTACCGCATACTAAATTACTACCATTTGGTTCTAAGTGGGAGGTAATTGAATCGCAGCACTCGAATTACCCTTCATCAGCTAATTTACTGACAGCACCTAGAACCAGAGCTTTATCAGAACCTGTAGTAACATTGAATCCAAGTGCTTTTTTAAAAGAAATTAATACACTGGATAAAAACAACGCTAAAAGTAGTAGAAATCATGAGAATATTTCAAGTTTAAATGAACAAGAAAAAGAAGAACAAATTATAAGATCAAATAAACTGGAACAATCAAAATTGCCGAAGTACACCAATCAAAATAAAAGACGTACAACACATATCAGTATGGAATTAGCACAATATCGTGTAAATGCTAGTGAAATGGAGCATCGTTTGGCTGAAATGAAATTAAAAAAATATAAACGTGGGAAAGATGATCACTCAATAAATGAGAAGTTAACACCTAATAGATTGAATCCACATAAAGAAGCAGAGCCAACAATGTCAACTTCGTTATCCGACAGCGCATTATCTACAGTACGTACCACGGATACGATTAATGAGGATGATGATGAAGATGATGTTACTGGTGGTATGGAATGTGACGATTACGGACGACAGAATCCATCACCTGAATCATGTTATTATACTAAAACAGGGGATAGTAGTTCAGCTACATATCTTACACAAAGTCAATTATAATTTTGAAACAAAAACAATTTCTAAAGTAAAATGTAAAGACACCATTCAAAATAATTCCATTTGAACTTGTTTACTTAAAAAAACGAAAAATTAATTTTCTGTGATAATTTATTGACTGATATTAAAAGGGTTTGATGATTTTTTTTTCCTTGATTTACTGTTCATGATAAGTTTCTAATATTGAAGTACTTTTTATTGAATATTTTTTCGATTCCATTTTTTACATTTTCATTTTTTTCTCTTTCAACTTTAAACTACAACCACTAGACAATATCGATAACAGTTTAGTTTGGACAAATAAAATTATTCTTTGTTAGATACTTTAATGTTTTAATGGAAATCTTTGTGTATAAATCACAGTGATTGTTTACACAACTATGCCGCGCAACAAGATGGCAATAAGAACATCAAGTTTGCAACACAAGTTAACAGGTTCACTAAATGACCTTTGTGTTTCCTTTACTCTTATTTACTCTCACCGAACTTTGTTGTTTTTCTGAAAATCATAACATTAAACACGTACACCAATTCGAATTCCGATCACATCTTTTTTAAAAATTTGAATAGCAATATTATTGTAATGATGATGATTTTTGTGTTAATGATTTGTTAGTGTTTTCGTATTAAAACAGCATTATTACTTTTACGTTTGTTCTTACTATAACTTAACGAAAGGCTATCAGCTTATGGTCTATTCGAAATTTTATTTGGAATAAATTCAAGTTAGCTTTCGGTCTTCCATCTGCTTCTGAAACACTTTCATAGTTCAAGGATAGCCGTTAGGAAGAGACGAGAAAAAGAAACTCAAGTAGTAACACCTTGATGATTTATCCTTTACATTCCCAATGAAAAGATACTAAACAGTTGTACTGTGAGTTTCACGGGTTAGCATTTGTAAGCTCTATTTAGAATTACATATTGTTACTATACCTTAGTTTGTTCAAAAGTTACTGTTAACTATATATCTGTTACGATATTCTATTCCAAACATTTTGTAGTTATGTAACTAGTGAGATTTATAAATTACGGGAAAAATGAAGTGACGAGTTAAACGGATAATTGGATGATTTATTATTGAAAGTGCTTTTAGTTCTCGCTATTCATGTATGTAAGCTAGCGAGTGTTAGATTTGAATGTACTGGGTTCCTGAGTATAGTAATCGAAGCTTGCCTGTTATGTTCTCCTATTCGGATTCAAGACTGAGGATTGAAGTAGGGGTAAATATCTATGATGCAAAATGAGTTAAGATTATCTCAACTTCAATCAAAGAATAATCGTCCCAGTAGACGTGTAACATTTGTCATCGTTTAGGACGCTGAGCTAAAGCCAAAATTTTACAAACGTGTTAGAGACAGTGGAGAATAGGAAACGTTTCACACTAACAAGGGCTCGAGCGAAAGGATGCCGCTGAAAAGGGAGCTGTGGTGTGGTCTTAAGTTGGCTTTCTGTATTATATTTACTCCTACAGTAATAATAGAAACACAGTTGAAGGTTCATTACCATTTTAGCCATTCCCACCCTTTACTTTATCACTCAGTTATAATGAATCATTGAAATCCCTGAGGTTTACTCTTTCCTTGTTATGTTATAGGTGCTGTGTGTAACCACTTAGGATCCAATCAGTTCTTTCTCTGCCTACCTTTCTAATGGTTCTCAATATTTGGATGCTAAGGCCGAAGTTTGTTACAGGTTTTCAAAAAGTAGCCCCAGCGATCGAACTAACTGTGCGCTTTCCGCCGATGTTGTGCTTCCTCTAGATTCTCCCGGACCCAGACGTGATAACATAGGTACGGTAAAAACGTCATATCCTTTCAAAGCTGCCTAATGCTCCGTTTCAATGATCTTGAACGGCCTGACAAGAGGCGATCATTCTGTATTTCAATTACTGAGGGTATGTTGGGTCGCACGAATACCAAGTTTTCTCATATGTAAGTGGTTGTTTTCTGCACCAAAACCACAAAATAGTTACGAAGAACATTGATTTTTCTCTCTGTGTCTTATAGTCCACACCTTGGACTGATTTTCGCTTCGTAACTTCCCGATATCCCCATTTTGGGGAAAATTTTGTCCGGTTTGGGTAAATCTCGGGGATAATTTTGGTATAGAGCTTTCTGTTCCGTTCTTCTGGAAGCGAAAAGAATCGCGGGCAGATGTAACCTCGATCGCGGATAAATTGTGATATGCCGGTGTCCTTGCCGTCATATATTCAGAAATTCGCTAAGTTGTACACCGGCATAGACTTGATTATTAGAAAGGTTTAAGCCTTTCAGTTAGTTCATAGAAGCCATAGATTGCATATCAGAAAATGTATGAGGAACTTCGCAGCTTCATGCAATCCTGAAAAACAACAAATCAATCGTGGAACAAACGATGGAACTTTGTTATCAGTATCAAATTCAATAAGTAAATGAAATAGCAGCTGACAAGATGTACCTATGAGTGTCATAATTGCTGTAAACAGTACTCTTCATTTTCTAACCCTCCTAGAATTTCACCTAGTTATTTGGTGTTGACAAACAAACCGCAGGCACCAAATAAACGGATTCAAAAACTTTGATTAGTAATATGAAATCTGAGAAAAATCCAATTACAACGTTCATAATACTATTAGCAATTCACTGTTTACACATAATAATGAAATAACTGGTAAGCATTATTTAGATATTACTCGTCAACATGCATTGAAACTTTGTTCATGATTTGGTCAGTGATTTCGGATTCTGTTAAGAAAAATATATTTGTTAACCCTATAACAGACACATCATAAACTAGCATTAACTACGACATGTTTAAGTTACCATTCTCAAAACAAAAACGCATCGCTTTGCTTACTTATGCATCACGATTTTAGAACCTTTGAACCTCTTTTTAACCCTGATAGGTTTATGGACCATATAAAATAAGTGTAGCAACTTTAATTCTTTAGTTTTCTATAATATACTGACTGTTGGGTGATTGGTTAATATTTCTCAAGGTCACTTAAGATTCGTTCGAATGTCATCCACAAATAGTTGTCTCGCCCTGTTTACGGCTGTATATTAGTAAGCTATGTAATATTCATGAATAGTTCAACGCTCAATTGCTCCTAGCTACAATTTATAAACAACTACCAACACGTATGTTCATCACCACCATAATTAGTCAGTTGAGTCATCCGTAAATGGTTTTAGAGCTCATTTTTGCTTGAAACTCTAATTTCGGTCTATTTTTGACCTGATAAATGTTGAACTTCACTTACCTGAGTTTACATTGGTACAAATAACCAAATTAGGCCTACTAAACATTCACCCAGGTTGTGAGCAACAAATACGTCAAGCTACTAATAGACTGGAATAAAAGCTATGTAACAAGCACAAAGATTACCAAAGTTGACGTGTGACAGATAAAGTGCTGTTAGTAGCCGATAGACAATGACATCTGAAATCCTCGACGGCATGTAACATGTGAGTGAGAACCCATGGCATGACTTTTCGACCGTGCCGGTAACATGTCGTCTCACATTTTAATCTGACCACCACCTCGGAAACTATTAAAAAGTCAAGCTGTAGGTTTGCGATGGTTGCATACATACAGTAGCATTTCAATTTTCTCGTAACTTACGAACTTCCATATGGTCTTCTGTCTGGATAAATGCCAACAAATACTCCCTGAGCACTATTTCGACTGTAAAAACTGCCATGTTTACAGTCCTGGCAACTCTTTTCTCTAAAATGTTATTCGTATCTGCTGTAGATTCATCAGGCAGCTCTCTGTGCCTGTCTGCCTTACACTATGTTAGTAGATCATACCCGATAAGTAAGTCCCATACTAGCTTTTTCACCCCGTAGAACATTTGATCTAAATTGTTCATCTCACCTTCCTATGCGTACTATATTGCCCTCACAGTTTTCACGACGGCACTGGTTGCCATTCAAAATCGTGTGTTTGATGCAGCTGTAACATATGTTGACGTTGTCTCGCTAGCGTAAAAAATAATGTCGGCTACCCCCATTTCTTTTAAACCCACATCAATTTTTCTTTGAATGGTTACACTATTGGTAGACAGGCTATTGGTAGTAAATGAGCACTGCCTACTTGCACCACACATGGAATTACATAATGGTATAGTATTGCTGTGGCCCAGATCTGATGGTCTCGCCTACATTCTCCAGGCATTGACCTGTAGTGGATACTGGCAAACATTTTCATATGATTGAGTTCACAGTATCCTTTCCTGAGTAAGCTAGGCGGAACCATCGGTCGAAGATTTTGGGGGGAAGGTTTTGATATCATCTTCGTCTCTAGTATTGATAACTGCCATTTTAAATTATTGCAGTGCTCCTGGGCACTGCAGCACTCACTTGCTGATGTTGTAGAGACTGCCGTAACTATTGTCTGCACTTATCCCTTCTTAGAGGAAGGGACTGACCTCAGATATACCCTTCATGTTAGTGCGTTTTCATCTATTTTTGCGTCACGTTAGCACTTACTGACATCTGTTTCTTTGATGCTTGAAGAGCCTTGAGAACTGACTTGATAATCTTCACAGCTGCTAATTGATGACCGAGTTCTCTGGTTTTGCACCCTTTTAGGGCATTTCTTTAGATAAATCACTGAATCTCTACTTCATTTGCTGCTCCTTCTCCTTTTGATGAAAATAACCCCCACTTCTGGACTTATGTAGTCTATGTTTATACCGTAATGACGAAAGTTGTGGCAGGTTCATCATATCTATGTCAGAATTTCCGCGTGATATAATATCAATACGATTAATAGGCGAAAAAATCAGACAAAAATTCTGCCGGAGTTGAATCATAGGTGTTCTTAAAGCATCGCTTGTGTATCATAGAACGACTAAGCGAGGTGTTAGGATTAGGATTGTAGCACATAGTAAAGATGAATAATCGTTTAACTAAATTTGCGACCTTCATCGACAAAGGTGGTTGAAACATATGTAACGCATGTCGAACCACTATCGCCCCCGACTAGTGATGTTTTGCTGGTGCTTATGTAAGTTCAGA